CAGTTTTTTCATGGAAACAAACCCAACTCACAGGAACCTAGGATCAACAAACCCTACGCCCTAGGATCAGTAAACCTCGGAATCCTCAAGTTTTTTGACGCTTCGAGGCTTCATGCTCTCCATGCTCTGCGCCCACGCTGCGCAGACGGGACACGTGGCGCCGCAGCAGACCTCCTCCTTCCAGCTCTTCAAGTGCCTCGCTCTGCGAGGGCGCGGTGGAGGCGGTTTTTCCGGGGAGACCTCTTGCACTAGGTCCCCCAGCTGGGTGCCCTTTCTCACCCGTTTTTTGGTTGGGAGGGTTCCCCTACTAAAATAGACTACAGACAAAAGGGTAGCCTTATTCGTTTTTTGTTCCTTGGTGGCTCCCAGCCATTTGGTTCCTTAGCTTTTTGGCCTTTCAGCGTTTAGTGCTGGTTTCCATTTTACCCACTGAAAGTTACACTTTTAGCGGGGGATCTGAGGGCAGCCCAGTTTACTATTGGTTTCCCCGGGGAGACCCTCCGTCAGGTTGCCCTAGTGGTTTGGGTTGGTGGTTGGTGGTTAGGAAGTGGGGAAACCATTTGTATACCCTCCACAAAAGCCAATCCCCAAACCAATCCGAACCACCAATTACAGTAGGGGGAAGCTGACTTAGTGGGTGGTCTGGGTGGGTGGGTGGTGTGGGGATCTGAACCCCAGTACCTTTGAAGTCAAACAGAGAAGGGCTTCCAGAACCTGCAAGCCACCAATAAAAACCATCTAGGGGCAGACTATGGGGTCTCCACAACCATTTCATGTATGCCTATGCTAGACAAGGCTAAATGTGAAGCAGAATCAGAAGATCAGATCTGATTTTTGGAGTACCAGATGGCGGGGGATTGCTCTCGGGCCTTTCCAAGCATTTCTTTTGGACGCGTAGGGGAACCTCCGACCCTGACCCTTCAGCGCCATGGACCCTGGGTTCCTCTTGGAACGTTTCGGAGAAATTGGGTGTAAATTGAAGCACTAGCGAGAGACAAACCCATCGGAGCCCTCTCTATCTTCCGGGAACGGAAGAAGGCAACCGTGGAAATGTTTTGCTCTGCCTTTCTGGGTATGGGTTTTATTCAGCCGAGAGCGATACACCGCCCTGAAAGAGGGCGGTTCGGGACTCTTCACCGACGCCAAGGGGTAGGTCCCTAAGAGCCGAATCTTCTGGTTTCCAGACAACCTTCTTGCAAAAATAGGATCATGCCCATGTTTCCAATGCTTGGCTACAAGCGTCGGTCATAATTCCAGTGGCTTCCAAGACTTTCGGGCTTGTGTTCCGAGGCTGGCTTTGAGCGTGCTGGCCAATACGCCGTGGCGGGAGCAGAAGGCGACGAGCAATACGCCGGGTGTTCTTCGGCTCAGGGAGAAATTTGACCGACATTGCTGTGGGTCAAAAATAGGTACCCAAAATGGAACCCTTGTAGGAAGCATGGACCAAAAGCTGCGGTCCAATTCCTGGTGGTTTCATTTTGACCCACATGAATTTGACACATGTTCGTCTGAACCATCCATTTGGGCATAGGCTGGGGACGTAAACACGCGCGCGTTTCTACGGTCCGCCCGCAAACACCACAAATTCCGCTCCAGATGCGCGAGCGCGCCGGAAATGCTAACGTGACCACCCATTGCGCTTGCCAACATTTCGGGCGCGCCCCAGGCCTCAATTTAGGGAAGGGAACCGCTGTAGCAAGTTCTTGTTGTTGTGGATTTGGGTTGGTTTCCAAGAGCCGGAACAACATGAGAAAATGAACAGAAGCACACACCCGCACGTGGGTTTGAAGTTGAGTTTTGAAGGAAACATATGGACGAGGACGCCGCAACATCCGTGAACCGACGGCCAAGCAAACACCTTGCCTTCAAGCCAAACCTTCGGTCGCTCACACCACCGAGCCCAGTTTTCGTCCTCAAGCTGGCAGACTGCGTCTTGTCACGACATCTTAAAAAGGACAACCTCTCTTTAGCTCATTTCAAGCCAACTCAGACTTTTGAGGGCAGCAACTACATGATCCCACATGATGGGTCTGTAGTACGTGTTGTTTGCAGCAGGGACAAACCCAGAGAACACCACGCAAGCAAACCAAATAAGCCGAATGAGTGAAGAGAATCGCAAGTTATTCACTGCAAGCCCGCAGCTAGAGCCCAAACAAGGGCACAAGGGCGGCTGCAAACTCTTATGAGCCACGAAGCGATGGCGCCACGCGGCCGTGGCCTTTCAGGCCAGGGCCATCGCCGATTTCTCACAGCAGCAGTTTGAGGGTCATGACTAGTCAGGGTAGAGCCACGCTAATTATCACAACCAAACAGACCACATGAGATCAGCGAGAGCTAGTGCATCAAATTACCTGCAAGCTTCAGCATTGCCACGCTGAAACGCAGTGAGTGCTCAAACGCTATTGCCTGCCCAGATGTTGGCTTGACAACTTGACGAGCCTTGACAGGCTCAAACTCAAACGGCTCAGACATTGTTTCCTCACGAACACTAACCTACCCAACATTAGTTGCCTATCTGGGGTCTACAGTATACTTTGACCGTGTTCTTTTCAACAAAAGAAGCACACGAAAAATACCTAAACAAGACTATCATGTGATCAACGCCTTAAGTTGGCCAGGAGCATTCTTCACTACTGCTCGCCCTCAAGAACATCATCAGGTCTGCTTGCCAAAGCCCGCCGTGCAAGGACCGGATGTCCGAACCGAAGTGGGGAAGGGGGGGGGTAGGTTTGCTTGAGAAAAATTGTAGGATGGTTCGCGCCCTCAAAATGGACTTCTGCAACGCAATCCCTCAGTTCCAAAAGTTACAAACCTTCACGACTGGGCAAACAACGGCACTTGGACACTGAACTTATTTCGGAATACTGTTCTAGTCATCATCCCGGCACGTTCAGTTCCGGAAAGAACAAAACTCAGCATGCGTGCGTCGTTGTGTTGCGTGGCCGACTTTTCGCCACCCGGGGCGCCGCCCATCGAAATCGAAATCACAAACTCACTTCAGAACATGGCGCAGGAAAGCCGAGCTCAGCTGAACCTGCTTGTCCTCGCCCTCCTCCGCATCCGAGCCCTTCTCATCTCGCTCCCGCGCAGCCTGCCTCGCCTCCCGCTTCTTCATCAGGATTTCACTCCGCTCCTCGGCCACTAACTCCTCCTCTCCAGACAGCGGCCGAAGCAAGGAAGAGAAATTGACCTCAATCTGCTCGTCTGGGTGAGCTACTTTCGCGGTTCCGATGTGTTCTTGAGCATACGCAATAGCATCAGAAGTGAGCACCAGGGTGGGCAGCTCCACGTCAATCTTTGTCTTGTCGCCGACCGTCAGCAACATCGTGATCTGCTCAAAGTCCATGTTGGCTTTCTTCTTCTGCGAAGCGCGCACCAGCCAAGCCGGGGAAAACAAAGGCGACTTGATAGCCAAGTCTGCGGATAGCTGCCTTGCGACTGGAACAATGTACGTGTCAAAGCCCAAGTCTGTAAAGAAGCGCGACCTTGGTTTCAAAACTTTGCAGGCAAACACATGAACTCCCCAATGCGGCTGCCATTTGTCCACCGAAGTCTCTAAACGACACACGACAAACTTTGGCTCGCGAAACGCTTCACAACTTCAAACAAGGAAAGCAACCAAGGAGCGGAACACGAAGCCTTGTTTTTAGGAAGTCAGCCGGCTGTCCGCGCGGCACCGGCACCAAACGCCCGGCAAAACACATCCGAAGCTTCAGCAACTCCTCCATCTCTCCCTCCTTGGCCTTCAGGGTGAGCTTCTTGTTAGACACCGCAACTTTGCCACGCAAGCTGTCACGGAAATTCTCCACGCCTGTCACTTCCGCGCCAGAAACCGAGCAAGGCAAGCCAGCGAAGGAAGAAAGCACCGCCCAGGTGGCAAGAGAAGCGCAGCGCAAGGCCTCCCAGTGTTGAGAAGTAATGTCAGACACACTCGGGACCAGCGAGCGCCCGTTGTCTGCATAACCCTCCGCGCGCTGCAACACGCCAGCGCTGCAAGTAGCTTTCGAAACCACCAAGCTGACATCCTCCGCCCATTGTTGCAGAGCCTCTGCCTCCTTCGCCGCCTCATCACGAACATGTAGGGCTGCAAGCGCCTGTGCAAGAACCTCCTTCTTCATGCCCGCCACGCCCCCCTCTCCTCTCCGCCAACACGCAAGAGCTTCGGCCACACACGTGTCCAAGACCTCGCCCTCCGCGAGCGTGGCGGAGTTGGCAGCAAAGTAGTCCGTCAAGCATTGCGACAAGACCTTGATGGTTTTACGCATCTCTTTGCACTGCTCCGCCTGCCTCAAGGCGTCCCACTCTTGCGAGCTGCGTGGCTTGGGCTGCCGGCTTGTCATGTTCACCACAGTGAGGGTGAGCTTCTTCCACATCAAAGCCTGGGCTCAAAACGCTTGAAAAAACCACAGATCCAATGCCGAAACTTTATCTGCTTGAGTTGAGACTCGAGACTAGTCCGATCTCAGGCCACGCAGCAAGTGGCTTAGCTACCCAGCCATGTACCGCAAAGAGCCAACCAAAAAACCAGCTGGCCAAGTAATACACTTGCAAGCTCAGCAGCCCACTCTTGCACGACTGCATGGCGCTTGTCCTCTGCAGCCTGCGCCCAGGAATGCTGCTCAGCGAACTCCACGTCCATGCTAGCAGTTTGCGCAACCATTTGCCGCAAACTCGCCAAACCAACTGCACAAGTTTCTTGCGCGGAGTTGAGGAGGCTTAACAGCGAAGGGTCAGCTTCCAGGTCAGCTTGTCGAAGTGCGAAGGAGCCCAGCTCATCCCTCATGGACTGCAGCGCGCCCAACATGTAAACAGTTCTGTGCGAAAGAAAACACATCAGGTTGGTCTTGCTATTGCCAAACGCTTGCATAATATGCTTGATGTTCTTCCGGCATGAATTCAACGATGGGGCAGCGCACAGCATGTCGGACAGGCTTTCGAGCTCCAAACCTTGCGACTGCACCTGCTCGAGGAAGCAGATGCCGATGTCCATGAAACACGCTTCAAAAACAGAGTTGGCTGCTTTGGCGGCCTCAACCCAAAGCGATCCGACAATGTCTTCTTGCGACATGGTTGCCAAAGCTTTGGAAGCAAGAAGGGCTGCCAACTTTGCCCGCGAAGCCTTCTTAACCTGCGGCCACGCTAGATGGTGTGTTCCAACCCGGGACGCAGGATGCAAGGTTTGAGGTTTGCGGCTTGGCCCCTCGACCCCGTGCCAAAAGTAATTGAACCGGTAGCCGTGTTTGGCTCTGTGATGATCGGCTTTGGGGAAACTCACGTTGATTGTTTTATTGGTTCCTTTGAATTACTCAATGGCTCAATGACTTGTTTACCTGCCCGGGTTACCTGCCCAACAAAACATAGTTTAGGGCCCCAGACCTTGACTCGTCTCCTGACTTTTGGCGTGTGTGTTTTGCAACGTGGGGGCACCTTGTTGACTACCAGCATGATTCCCGGCTGCGACTCCAGGACAGATGCCAACGTTGGAACTGGGCGGTTGTCCTCGCCTTCATCAGCACCTTCTTCAAGGCCTGGGAGCGGCCGCAGCTTTTGCCGCGTTCCCGAAACCCCAAAACACAAAGCGCCAAAGCGCAAAAATCCGTTTTTGGTTTTTGGGGGGTCCGACAGCTCAGCACTTTTCAATTGGGAAGCGACGAGCTCTGAAAGCATAAGAGAAGCGAACATTGTGGAACAAGGGAAAGGAAAACATGTTGATATGGCGCGCTAGGCAGCTTAACTCCTCAAAGTTGTCCTCCAAGAAAGTCAGGAACCCCTTGATTCGATCCGCGCTTGCTCGGAAGACGCCCAAGATGGTGTTGAACACGTCCACCTCGTGCGACTCGAGCGCGCCGTCGTCTTCCTCCTGTGCTCCATCGCCATCGCCACCCTTCTCGTCCAAGTTGTCCTTATTGCCCAGTGGTGCGTCTGGGTCTGAGAACCTCGCCTGCAGCGCGTGAGCGCGGTTCAAGTAGGTTTTAATCTGCTTCCGGGCTCTCGTCCATGCGCCGCACTTCGGGAAGCCAGCTGCCTCCAAGCTCCGCTCAAGGCCAAACAGCACCCCCATGTCCAAGGCGAATGAGACACACTCGCTCTTGCGCGAACGCCACGGCACCTTCTCCAACGTGTAGTTGACCGCGTTCAGCAAGTCATCTCCAAACGTTGTTGGCCGGAGCTGGCCATGACAGTCGACAATTTCTGCGAAGAAGGACTCCTTGTCCTCACCCTCATGCTTTCGCTTTGCTGTAGCTTTAGCCTTGGCCTTTTTGCCTGGCTTGGTCTTTGCAGCCTTCTTCGAAGAGGCGGCTGTCTTGTCCTGCTTTTCCTGCATCTGCTCTGGCC